TATGAGCAAGGCTATCAACTATAATTATCATACCTCAGCTCGCAAGCACTGCTCTCACAATGTAAAATGTCTATTGCGGTTGGGGGCTTGTTGTGCATTCCAAGTGCTTTGAGAAACCTGTTCTGGCCTCCGCTGCCACCGCCAGATTTGCTTCATTCCAGCTGTCACTTTTCAACGCTGTTGCGATGCATCTTTCCCCTCTCCTTTCCAGTTTCCAGAACTTTCCGTCCCTGCATGACGCCTCTAATGTGCACACTTGCTCTCAAAACCTGAACATGTCTTTGTTGTCTTATGCATGAGCTGATCACATGTACAGTATATGAAACAATCATTCATTTTGTATGCCATTCAGCTTTCACAGGAGATTCCTAAATTATTGAAGAGGACACCTCTTTTTCGCTTCCTACCGGGTACCAGCTCTAACTTTATGAAATGCACATTCATAATTAGATAATTAACTTGCGCACAGGAGATTATTGCATCTTTTACCTTAAGCTGCTGTCAGACTAACCCGCTGGGAGTGAGAGCTACCTCTAGTCTTGAAAGACGAGCATCCCTTTGTATCCACTGGCAGTACGAGCTACTTCTTGCCTTTTAAAGACGAGCATCCATTTGTAACAGTTAGTGCATTAATTTGCTTGGCTTTGGTGCTTCGGATTCACAATGAGATCATACGTGCATTGCAGTCATCGGGTACAAATGCTTTGCAGTGTACTTGTTAAAGACCGAGATCCCGTTTTCGAGGTCGGGAGCGGAGCTCCTGGAGAGCGGTGGTCACGTTGTTAACAAGTGGCTGTCGGTGGGCTTGCAGAAGACCTCCGGACGCTCAGCAATCCTCGTGGATCTGATCGATGTCGCCACGAGGTTGAGGCGGCTGAACAGCTGCTCCGGGTCGGCCGTTGACACCGGCAGGGCGGCGAGCACCAGGATGAGCTTGTGAATGTTGAAAGCAGGAGATCCGAGCACTTGGCTTAGGTCTGTACCACAGATTTTGCAGTTTCTTCTTTCCTTTCCACAATTCCGGCCAGATGCTGTGCTCAGGCTCAACGGCCGGTACAGGGTCCAGAAACCCGCGCATTGCGTCACGGCCGGCTTCATTGCCGTCCAGCTCTTCATACTTGCCGGAAGCAAGCCACGGAGTTTGAGTGATGGCTGCCGCGGCTGCCCGAAGCAGGCGTGAAGCTGGATGAGGACACTGTCTAGCAGGGGGATAAAGCAGTCTGCTCTGAAGTACTCTGCAGCATCGCAGAAATCCTCGCGCTGGACCGGTTCACCGACCTTAGCGCACAGCGGGGAGGAGCGATAGCAATCCCAAGGACGTAAGCTGCCTCACCTGCCTTGTCCATCACGGCTTCTCTGGCTTCTCTCTCCATCCCTACAGCAGTCTGATGCATACATCGTTGTCTCCTGCAGCCCCGGAAACACCCAAACCCTTGGCCTGGAGCATACGGGCGACTGTTTGCGCCACAGACGCCACGGCTTCAAACGCATAAAGCACCGCCAGAAATTCTGAGCAGGCGATCGTGCCCATCAGCCCTTGGGCGCTCTTCCGCGCTTCTGAAGAAAACCGTATGCCCATTTTTGTCAGGCAGTGAGCCACTGCTGGCAGCAGCTGGCAGATGCGCGTCACTGCCTCGTGACGCTCCAGAAAGTGCGTCGTGCGTTGTAGGCCTCTTCCTGCTCTCTTTGGACACCACCTTTTTGATGGCCTTTGTCAGGGCTCTGGCGCGATTTCCGCGAATGAAGAAGGTGGTTATGTTTCTTACGGTATCAAGACATTTCCGAATGTCTTACTGTTTGCAGCTGCTGCTGACGCATGAATTAAGTGTACGCATCGAACGGCGGAAAAACTCGCAGGGGTCTTTATCGCGCTTGGGCACAGCTGCTGCTCCCACATTCTCACTGTCCGCTGCTGGAGCTTCATCGAACCCGCAGCCGGCCATCTCCCCTGTGCCCTCCGCCAGTCCGACGTCTGCGACTTTTTTCAGAATGACACCGCCGACGTTGACTCCACTCATCTTTGTCCCGTGAATATCGTCGTCCTCTTCCTCTTCCTTCTCCCTCTCGTCGTCGGTGCCGTTGTGTTTGGAGCACCCAGTGTCGATCTCCTCGAGAAGATCCATGATGCGAACAGGATCTTGTGGATATCCCACGTTCCATGCCGCTGGGACGCGAATCGAAGAACAGATGCCATCTGTTCATGTCCAGCTCGGTCAGTTGTCTCATCCACCAGTACGGCTGGGCAAACTGTCTCCCACTGTTTGTCTGATGTAATTGTGATGCAGGTGGCGGTGCAGTCAAGCATCTCGGCTTGAGTAGCTCAGCTTATGCAAGGGAAATGCTCACCAACACCGAACAAATCCAGCACTTTTATATAAAGCATCGTGACATTCACAGCTGGCTAGATACGGGGCCGCTTCACCAAGGAGCAGACAACGTAAGCAACTTAATATTCGTAACATCGGCACTTGTGGTGTACAAGCTTGTCACATCAGACGTTTTTCAAGGAATCTTGACTTAAATCGAATTATCCGAGTCCTTTTTGTGAAGTGGCGATCGAACGTTGTTGGCGCTGTTCGTCGTGTCATCTACACCGTCTCTGGCGGTTGTCACGTGGATCACGGGCGGTCGCTGTGCAGGGGACCACCCAGGGCGCTTTGGTCGTCAGCCCATTACGCGATAAGACTGACACAGCCAGCGGGACCGCTCGCCTTGCGTGCCGCGCGGTCAACCCAGCCCCTCCCCACCCCCCCCCCCCCCCCCACTCCTCCTCCACTATCGTCTTTCATGGTAACGGACTGAATTGAAACGGCCACGGAATATCCAGTCTGCGCATGGTGTCAATTTGTTCAGTCATTGATATGTACACGCCTATCCGGGCCAAGCGGGTGCCATCATCCTTTAGAAACGTCCGCCAGTCTCTGGGGCGCCAATATCTGCTGCAGTGGTAGGGGTGGCATATGAAAATTCCATAAGGTGCCTGGCAACTTATAGCGTTGTTTTTGTATTGAAACGGGCAAGGTCGCACGAGAGGTAGGGCCCGTGTCACCCTGGGTCGGCAAGAAGCCGGGCACGTTCCGTCCACGTGCTGCGCCTGAGGTGCCACTCTTAGCCTCAAGGCGCGTGATACTGCGGCGTGGGAAGGAATCTCTGCCATCGCACTGCGGGGATGCGGAGATGAGCGTGACACGCGCGAGCGGATCGTCGTATGAGCGTGGTTCGCGACGATGCTGAAGTGCAGGCAGCGCACGTACGTCAGTGTCATCCTCCCATGTATTCGACCTCCTTGGCCATGCTAGGCGCTTCAGGTTCCCTTATTCCGCACGGGCGCCCATGAAGCTGTAATGTCTTGTCTCCAAGCTAGTGTGTCTTGTGGCTTTCATAACTTCAAACTTGAAGGTCCCACAGGTAGCGCGTGTGCATTCTTCAATCACTGTGGGCGGCTATTCAAAGCACCAATGTCATCCAAGACCCCCATGAGGTTCTTGGGGTGCCCATTTGTTCTTTAGAGCTTCTTTATCGCCCTTGAGACGTTTTCAGACCTCAGGAACACCTTTTTAGCACCCGGGGCGCCTCTCTAGAATTCGGGGTACCATTTTATTTTTAAGGTGTCCTTTTAGCTGAATGGACTATTTTCAAATATCAAAGAAAGTCACTCGGATTCTGTCCGTCCATTTCAACTTTGAAATATTGTTATACTCCAGGAGCACCCTTTGCGCCCTCGGGAGCGGCTCTGTGTGCTTCTGTGTCCCTTTGTTTGGACTTATTTTGTTCTTTAAGGCGCCCTTCCAGATATCACAACACATTTCAGACCTCAGGGACACTGTTTGAGCCCTAAGGGTGACCCTCCTGGGACTTGGACGCCCTCCCGTTCTAAAAGGCGTTCTTTTTACCCTCGGGACATGTTGTCATACTCAGTTGCGACCTATTGGCCATCGGGGCGCCCGTCCAGGTTGCGAGGCGCCCAGACTCTTAAGCGCATCCCTCTAGACTCGAAGCATGTCCTTGGACCGCAGGAACACCTTTTGAGTCCTAGTGGGAACCCCTCCATGATTGGGGGCGCCCTTTTATTCTTTAGGCATTCTTCTATAATTCGGGACAATTTTAAACATGAGGACCTCTTTTAGCCCTCGGGGGCACCTCAGGGTATTTTGGGATGCTATTTTGCATTTTTTTAGAGCGCCTTAGACCTGACCCTGGGACATATTTCGAACGTCAGTGACGACCTTTGAGCTTTCAGGCTCTTCTCCAGGGTTTGAGACACCCTTTTGTTCTTTAGGGCGTTTTTATTGCCTTCGGGACACATCTTCAAATTTCAGGGGCGCCCTTTGAGCCATCGGAGACAGCTCTGGTGTCATCGGCGCACCCTTTATCGTTAAGAGCTTTCCTCTCGCCCTCCGGACGTGTACTACGGGGGCGCCCGACTGAGTCCTCAGAGGGCGCTCTTCCAGCCCGGAAGCTTTTGATGTCCTTTTATTCTTCAGGGTATCTTTCTAGACTTTGGGACATATTTTCAGATCACATGGGTGCCCCTTCAGCTATCGGGGGCGCCCTTTCCTTTTTCACATCCCCCGAGGTTTGGAGCACCTTTAAATCTTCATGACCATTATCACCCTGCCCCGTTCCGGTCCGTGCCAGGTGCCCCTTTAGGGGTACGCCATAGAAGGGCGCCCTAGAGCGGCTTTTGGGGAGGGCCTAGAGCGGCCTTCGGCGTCTCTCTAAGAACGCTCTTACTTCTCGGTGGGGGGACACGTTACCCAGTGCCCCACCCCTCTGCCCCCCCCCCCCGCTTACAAAGATGTCAATTTGGCTGTTTTAACGTGCTATGACGTCTGGAATATCTTGCCGACCATCCCACACCGTCCCGAACAAATCTGGTACGATTTGTGGCATTTCCAGGTACGCTCAAAATGTGCCACGGCAACACCGGTGCACTTCGCTGGCGGCCGCAGGGGCGGCCGGGAAGCGGTGTGCCAGTAGGTGTCAGTCTCTGCCAGGCAATGGCAATTCGCGTGCGCGCGCTGCTCGGGGCGGTGCTCCTGCTGGCTCCGGTGTCGTGGCGGGTGGAAGCGATACATACAGCCAACAGCGACTGGCCGGACCTGTTGCCGACGGACTGTGGCCGCCGCCAGGTGAAGCCGAGCGAAGCCACCCGTCCGTTCATAGTCGGGCCGGGCAACACCACCGCCTACTACGGCCAGTACCCGTGGCAGGCACGGCTGGTCGTGTACGACTCCAAAGTGAGGGGCTACAAGCACCAGTGCGGCGGCATCGTCATCACGCAGACGCACGTGGTGACGGCCGCCCACTGTGTGAGTGAGGTCGCCCCCCGGCGGCTGCTGGTGCGCGTCGGGGACCTTCGATTCGATGGCCCCGACCCGTTCGAACAGGAGTTCGCTGTTGCCAACCTCCACATACACAGCCAGTTCGGCACGGGGCCTGGCCTGCGCCACGATATGGCGCTGCTGCGGTTGCGGGGCCGCATCGGGCCCGGCATCGAGTTCAGCCGCTACGTACAGCCGGCCTGTCTGCCGACGGTCGACTCTAAATACGAGACGTTCCTGCCGTGCGAGGTGTCCGGCTGGGGCCGCATTGCGGAGCACGCAGATATCTCGGAGGTGTTGCGCGGTGTCTCGGTGCCGCTGGTGTCGGACATTTTCTGCGGTGCGCCCGAGGTCTACCAGGACCGGTTCCTGCCCGGCGCCATGTTCTGCTCGGGTCTGACGGGTGGCGGTGCCGACGCCTGCGAGGGCGACTCGGGTGGCCCGCTGGTCTGCAGCGACGAGGATAGCGGCCGCTTCGTGGCATACGGCGTCGTGTCGTCTGGCGACCCGCAGGGCTGTGGCCAACGACCCGGCCTCTACACGAAGCTGTCGGGCTACATCGGCTGGGTGCTACGCCGGCTCCAGCTGGACCAAGAAGATGAGGCGGTCCCGAACGCTGCCGCCGTAAACACCGTCAACCGGCCCCAGGGCGACCTGGGTCGGGCGTGCTTCACACCCCGCGGCGAGGCTGGCTTCTGCATCCCGCTGCGAGACTGCCCCGACTTGCTGCCGGCAGGCGGCGGGTTGCGGTCGGGCCTGCAGGGGCGACCCGTCTGCGGGCTGGACGCGGCCGCTACGCCGCTGCTCTGCTGCCCCGGACAGGCCCCGCGGAACGTCGGCTGCGGACGGACCAGCTTCTCGCCGCCGGCTTATCTGGGCGCAGCGCTCGCCAGGAACGCCGCCAACTTCCCCTGGATGGTAGCCATCATCAGAACGAAAAAGGACGGAAGAAAGGCGGCGCTCTGCGGGGGCGTCGTGATCTCCGATCGGTGGGTGTTGACGGGGGCGACCTGCGCTCGCAACGTCCACAAGCTGAGACTCCGCTTCGGTGACCTTCATCTGCAGGATACCTCTGACGACAACCCTACCGCGCCGCCGTTCGAATTAGAAATTGTCAAAGTTGTAAAGCATCCCCAATATGCGCCACCGAAAAAAATCGTACAGAACATCGCGCTGATGAAGGCGGCGTCCAAAATTTCATTTTCTAGCACGGTGAACCCTCTATGCCTCCCAGAGGCATCCCTGACGTCGAATGCGGCAGCGGGCAAGGACCTCCTCTTTGCTGGCTGGGGCTCGCCCAATCGTGGTGACAATTCTGCGCTTTTGTCGCTGAAATGGTCGAGACTGCGGGTGGTTGATATCAATGAATGTGTGAGTAACTATACTAGGGTCAGCGGAGCAGCGCAGTTTTTTGGAAAAGGGTCATTTTGCACCAAGTTTATCAGCGCATCAGAGGAGTTCATGTGTGCAATCAATGGTGGTGACCAGGGCTCGGTGTTTATGGACGTGGTTAGGGAAGGGAGCTCTGAGAGGTGGTACGCAGTGGGGCTGGCTATTGGTGGAGTGGGCTGCGGTAGCAAAGAGTTTCCAGACATCAACATCGCACTGGGACCATCTGTGGGCTGGATCCAGTCGGTTATCTCTGCGCCCTAACAGGCTATATCTCTTGCTTCAAGAATCATCATATAACGCAACCAAAACCACCCTTGCATTTTTGTGTTTTCATGGTGTTTTTTATGCAGCACGCCATACAAATTGGGCGATGTTGCGGCGGTTTGAAACCTAAATGCTTTCAATACACCGTTTGCGTCCGATCGTT